TGAGGACTCCTATGGAGAATGGATAACTATTCATGATAAGACTAGATGAATCAGGACACCCTCAAGAGCAGACCAAAGTCACAGAAGAGGAAAGCTCATGACTTCTTCAGTATTTTTCCTAAGGCCAGCCCATTTGGCAGAACTTTTAATCTATGTATATAGAACTGTAATGGAGCCTAAGCTCAGCAGAGACTTTTTTTTTTTGTGAGGCAATTGGGGTTAATTCACATGCCTAGTCACACAGCTAGTGAGTGTTATGTGGCTGAGGCCAGATTTGAACTCAGGTCCTCCTGACTGCAGGGCCAGTGCACCACCTAGCTGCCCCTAACAGAGCCCATCTTTAAGAACAGAGAGAAAAGCCCCATCTGCCCATCAAGTTAAGAAGTATCTTTGTCCTGCAGTCTAGACAGAAGCTGATTTTGGCAACCCTGATTTTCTCAGGTGTGAGAAACTTATTTGAAAGTATTCACCTCCAGATGAATACTAGTACAAGGAAGCTACCTTGCCTCTTCTGGATTCATCAGAGAACTAATACATATTAGTATTAGAAGGTATTTTACCTTTTCCCACCTGCTAAAAATCAAAGCATTCTTACAAAAAAATACAGGATCTGTGATTTCTCCCACTATTTGGATCACAACTAGTGATTTAGGAGATTAGTCCTAGAGAGTTGCAGGGGGTGGGTGGGTGGGGGAACTTAGAAGAGAGGAGACTTGTCCACTGTCACACAGCTATTAACGGTCAAAGGTAGTATTTGAACTCAGGTCTGACTCTTAATCCAACATTCCATCCTCTGTGCCCTGCTGCTTCCTTGGCAGAACACCATTTCAGATGTCCAATGACTTCAGATAAATGTCTCTATGTTCTACGATTGATGTATATGACTGTAAGGTTTGCAAAGCATTTTGCAAATATCTCATTTTATTCTGGGAGATAGGTGACATTTTCCCATTTTACAGATGAGGAAACTGGGGCAGGCAGTGGTTAAGTGACTTGTCCAGGATCACATGGCTAGTATGTGAGGCTGATTTTGAACTCAGGTCTTTCTGACTCTATCTGCTATACCACCTAGCAGCTTCATTGGGGTATTGAAGTAATTTCTTTTTTTTTGCCATTTTATCCCACAAATTATAAGGTCAAAGAGGTCCCCGGATGATAAGAACTGCATTCAATATGTCCAGAAGCAAACCTCAATTTGCCTGATTACTCCCTTATATGGATAGATTTGTGATCTTTGGTGAAGGGACTTCCTCTACTGGTGCAGACTGCAACCTAACTGCATTTTCATCACATGTAATTCTTATCTACGCTTTTCCAAAAATCCTCCAGCAGATTCAGATCTGGGGCTCTTAACCTTTTTTTGTGTTATGGACCCCTTTGGCAGTCTGGTAAAGTCTATGGATGATTTCTCCGAACAACATTTTTTAAAGCACAAAATATATAGGATTACAAAAGAAACCAATTATATTGGAATATAGCTATCAAAATACAAAAAAAAAGTAGGTCAACTGACTGTAGGAAGCATGGAGGAAGGAGTCCTCCCAAGTGGCACCTGGAGGAACCTACCTCTTGCAGTCATGAAGACCAGAGGTCAAATCTGGCTTCAGACACTTATTAGCTGTATAATCTTGGGCAAGTCATTGCTCCGTTTTGTTCTCCTAGAAATAGTTTATCTCCTTTGTGGGGTTTGTGCTGAAAGTGAACCTGGAATTTTTCAGAGCTATATTTGCTTAGAAGGAAACCTAGGGCATTTTTGCAGGAATCATGAATGTTTGTAGTCTTTGTGGTGGCCAGAATTTAAACCAAATCAAATAGGAAAAGAAATCTCAGTTTCTGGGCTACTCGTGTCCACGCTCACAAACCTGCTGGGCTGAATGGTGTTTTAGTTCTGCCTAAAACATTTTAAAAACATAGCCTCCTGTTTATTTCCTCAAAGATAACTCTGAATAGACCCCTCCAGAGTAGGACAATGGGAGACACCCTCCATAATAAAGACGGAGGAACCGAAGGAGCTAGAGTTAGGCCCTCAGAGGCCTTCTAGTCCAAATTCCCTCATTTTTACTAATGAGGAAACTGAGGCCCAGGGAAGTTAAGGGACTTGTCCAAGGTCACAAGGCAGTAATGACGGGATGATCAAGATGAGTTTGTCCTATTAATCCTACGTCAAACTTGAATTTCTTCTTCTTCTGTCCCCCTGCCTCCCAAAGGTGGAATGGGAGGGATGACAGTATCTCAAGCCTTAGAGAACATGTGATCCAGTCCAACCCTTGCAGTCAATAGGCATTTATAAAGAGCCCACTACATGCACCAAGTGCTTTAAACTTACTGAGGTTATATGAATATCAAAGCCAATGTCCAAAGTCAAGTCCTTGAACTCAAACCTGTCACTCTTTGCATCACAGCTTGTTGCAAGTATACTACAAGGCTGAATTACGATGGGGAATCACTTTTGGGGACTGGTACCATGAAATATTGAAAACTAATGTGGAATGGATCTATGTCTATACACACACACACACACACACACACACACACACACACACCAGAGAGAAAACCACAACTCCAGCCCTTGGAGGGATCTAGTCCCAGCCCTATTTATATACATATACACACACACACACACACACACATATGTATGGAAACTGAAGCCTGGAAATATGACTTGTCCAAGTTCACACAGCTACTTGACTTGAGGCCAGGTCCTCCGACTCCAAATTAAATACTTTTTACTATGTCATGTATACTCGGTTTTGAGTGAATGTTTGAAAAAGCAATAAATAAATGCCTACTATATGCTGGGCACTGATTTCTGTTCCCAGAGCAAGAGGTGGAAAGGTGTGGGGAGGAGATGACACAACAGAATTGGTAGGAAGATAGTTAGACTGCAGCATGGTAGATCTGGTGAATTTTTGTTGTTTTTAAGGGAGTGCGCTCTGGTTGCATTACAATAAGGCTCTACCTTCCTTCCAATACTTTCAAAAGTAACCCCTCTTTTTTGGCTCTGAGGTGGTTTATTATCCCAACTCATAGACTCCTGGGGGACTAAACAGTGAGATGAAATTAACAGAACCTGAGAAGTTGGTTAGAAGAATGACTCTATTTTTACAATGCTTTCTAAAAGAAACTAGGTCCTCCCAAACCCAGACCTCAGATAACCACCCCCATCCTCTGCAACACAGGAAAAGCCTAGAAGTTACTTTCTGTGGAGCTCTGAATAGGGGAAAGTCAGCTCTGGGAATAGAGCAGCTGCTGATCTCCTCCCTGCAAGAGAACATTCCTTTCACTTGATGTATTTGCTTTAAGAATTGTCTGCTGTCCTCTGGGGAAAATGACATACTACTCACCTTGGCTGGGAAGAAGCAGGATGCAAAAAGTCCCTGAGTGTTGGTGTAGATTTCCTCTCCCCTTTTGTCCAGACTGGAAAAATCCCTGACATCCCCTCCTCTTCCCCCATCCAATCTCCAGACAAATATTCTAGGACGCAGCAATCTGATATGATGTATTTATATTTACATGGTAAATTTTAAAGCAATAACTACATTGATCAAACATATTAGAAACCATAAAAAAAGTTAAGAACTAAAATGTACATCATACACGTGTATATATATATTTTTTTACACAGAGGTAAAAAGGTTTGTTATAAAAAATCAATACAACAGGTTTTGACTTTTAGGATACAGGTACATAATGAATTATGCTTCAGGCACTTTAATTGGTAAATGTGAGCAAATAGCTTGGGGTGGGTGGGAGAACCTTCACAACAATGACAAAAAATTTTGGTTAACATTTTGTTACCACAGGTATAAAAATAAAATCTGAATAGTTTCTCTCTCTCTGATGATTTAAGTCAGTATTGCAAAGCTGACTGGGAAAGTACCACACACTGTTCAGCTGCAGTGTGGAGAGCAGGGAGAGATATTTACAAGAATCCCCGTGGGGTCTGTCTTTGGGCCCTTTTACACTGTCTTCAGAAACCAAAAAGAGCACGTGTAGTGGGAGCTGTGAGGGTCAGCTCCCAGGGTGCTGAAGGGGAGGCAGGGCCAAGGAAGATTTCAACGACAGGTAACAGAGGAGGAAGATCCCACATACAGAGAGGCTGCTTTGGAGCATGTCTTCTTACTGAAATAAATAGGAGCACTTAAACTGGGATCTGACCAGAAACTTGGGTTAGTGTTTGTTGTGCTTTGTAGAAACTGAGACCTTCCAGAGATTCACAGAGGGAATGAATATACTGGCTCTCATGGGAGCCTTTGGAGGCTGGTTTGTGTTCGACAGAGTTGCTAACCAAGATTGGTCATCTGCTACCAGGGACAGCAGATTTCTTTTCTGATTCTACAGAATCACACAGATCTCCCTCTGAGCCCCCTTTCCAGCTAGAAGGCTTAAACCAGGAACTGCTATGAATTGAACATTTGATGACTCTAGGTCAAAAGCACACTGGGTACGGTTTTTTGTTGTTGTTGTTGTTGTTGTTGATTGTTTTACTCCAAGCACTGTAATCAACTCCCCGAGAACTGGAAGAAAGCAAAACATTCCCAAGAAGGTTAATCGTGGCAAACACTTTTCCAATGTGATTGGCAAAAAGAAGAGAAATCCCTTTCCTTGAAGACGATGTCCATGTGCAATAAGGAGGGAGGGGTGGATCAGGCCATGCACTCAACTGGCAACTGACTGCAGAAAGAAATTATGGCAGGAAGAGCAGTGCCAGTTTTGATGGACATGCCTACCCCTAACGGCCTTGGAACGGTTCTGATTGTACTATGCTAGTTACCGCTAATTGCTCTACATTTTTCATTTTTTTCTTATTTCAATAAAAAAATTATTTGGCTATTCCTTGTAATAAGTTAGAAAAATACTCTTTTCCCCAGCTAATTACAAGCCTGGTACATAGAGAGAAGACATTTTTTTTTTTTAGGACAAGTCTGTTGGAAACATCTGCACAATCCTAATGACAACATCAAGACCGGGTGCTGAGTCAAGGGAGAAAGACACTTAGGCATTGGGAAGTTTTTGTATTTTACATATGGCCTTATTTTTTTTTCAAGTACAAATTTGGAATTTGGTGATGTGGAAGTGATTAGGAAATGCAAGAACAAAACAAAATCTTAAGCTTTATGACGGTTAAAAATTTTCCCTCTATACAGTTAATATAAAGTTTACTTCGAAAAAGCTTCTGGTTTCATTCACCACAACCTTAGTGTTTCTCTAAAATCCTAGTGGATCTTGACAACTGTTTTTTGTGTCTGCCCTGGATACCTACTATCCATTTGCAGAACAATGAGCAAAACAGGAATTATTTAGAGGTTAGTGTTTTACTCTAAGATGGAGAACTTGAGGGAGGAATGTGATCATTTAATTCCCATCCTAGAATCATCATACTGCAGAATTCTGGAGAAGGAAATCAGCTGGATCAGCCCCCTAATTTTATAGATAACGAATTTGAGGCCCCTTGAAAGTAAAGTGATATAGAATCACTAATTTAGAGTGGGAAAGGATTTTAGGTCATTCTGGTCCCAGCCCCTCATTTTATTATGTAGATGAGGAAACTGAGGCTGAGACAAGTAAAATGTCTTGCTCAGCGTCACTTAGGCTATAAGTGAGAGAGCCAGAATTCAAACCTAGGTAGGTCCTCAGATTTCAAATCCGGTGCCCTTTCCTTTGAACCACACAAGGTCACACCCAACTTCTTTGTCCTGGGGCTAGGACTGGAACCCAGGTCCATTGTCTTTTCTACTACATCATATTGTCTCCCCGTTTTAAACATAAATCCTTTAAGTTCTATTTTTGTAATTATTTGGGTAGCTCATAGAAACCTTAAGTGGCTTCTCCAGCACTAGCTGGAAACACATGAAGTTTGAGGACTCCTCCTGATGTTAAGGCTTATTTCTCATTGTCTTTGCATGAATGGATGTTTTCCATTAGTGAATAATTTAAACGCAATTTTTTTTTTACAAAAGAAATGATGATGGACTGAAAACAGAACTGCAATTCACATGACATAAGAAATTTGGCTTTAGAATGGTAATAGCAATATCGTGTTGTGATACACGCTAGCACACCTTCTGTACACATAATAACTGACTGCAGGTTAAAATACTTCTGGTGGGATTTCATCATTCTCACTTATTTTGGTAGGTACCCTAAATTTGGGTACAGGTGGTTTGTCAAGGAAAGCTTAACAAGAGACAGTCTTGAGATGCTCTTCCAAAAACCCCAAACCAAAAAAATTCCCTGCAAATCAACAGTTCAGACGGTAGCCTCCTTCCTTTTGAAGTGGAAAGCTGGAAGGAGGGAAGGGTCGGGGAGGGCAGGAACAGGGAATATAAACATGTACAAGACAATCAGTTGGATTACAGATTATTAATAATACAATAGTCTATGCCGAAGGTTAATTTCATTACAACACTGGGGTGGTGTGTGTGTGTGTGTGTGTGTGTGTGTGTGTGTGTGTGTGTGTGTGTGTGTGTGTGTACAATTAAGAGTGGCTGGCTGGAGCTCAAGGGGCAGACCCATCAGATGGGTTCCCCAGGCTGGAATGATGTCTCCAGGTATAGCAGGGCTAGGGCAAAGAGGTTCCCATTTCAGGGGTATCAACCCCTGTCAATGGTAAGGAGAGAGGGAGATAGAGCAAAGGGCTATTGTCTTCATCCGGCTGCTTTGTGTTTCCCACCACAGCACCTACACATCACCCCGCAGTTGTAGCAGCCTCGGAGGGGCAGGTAACAGCACATACAGGGGGCCAGGAAGGACAAGGCGATGAGGGCCATCCACCGGAGGCAAAACTTTTCATCGCTGGTGTCACAGGAACAAGGGTCCGTGTAGTCTCCCTCGGGATCGGACATACAATGGTAGAGCATGCTGTCTGCACACCACATACAGCTGACTCGGCGGATGCAAGTTCTGATGGGGTCAGGGGCATCCTGACACTGACCCCTTCGGTTCTCTTCGTGGTTGAACATGTCTCTACAGTACACGCACCGCGACCGTTCCCCATCCTCCTTCCGCCGTCGGGTCTTGCCTCGGTTGGGCTGAGTCTTAATCACGCCCCCTCCACCCCCTCCTTTGCGGTCATCCCCCGTGTCGAAGTCTGAATGGTCAACATATGGGTAGGTGTAGTCGTGCTTGGAGGCATCCCCCTTGGTGGCGAAGCGCACGTAGGAGTCCACATCCTCTGACGTGTCCATGTATCTGCCCCTCACAGGAGCATGCCGGTAATCCTCATATCCCGTTATCCAGATCTTCTCCCGAGGGTTGATGCGGACGATCTCCTCCTCATCATCTGGGAAACTGACCTGTCGGTATGATCTGGGGATGGACTGCTTGAGAACGGGGAGACACAAATGGATTTTATTTAATATCAGTGACCAATCAAAATTAAGATTATCTCTTGAGGCACCTGGCATTCCTACCTCCCACCCTCCCCAGATCAATGCTGGTCAAAGGCATCTGTCTGAAGAACTCATTTAATAAATATTTCTTGAGTGCCTACTATGTGCAAAATGTAGGAGAGTAATAAAAAAAAAGTGCTAGTCCTTGCCTCAAAAAAACCTTAAAATCTAGTTGGGAAGGTAAGCCAATAAAGATACAACAATAAAAGGCTTTAAGAACAGCTCAGGGCAACAGCTTATCGGTGATCATCAAATTAACTGTACAGATTATAACTGCTAGAATAATTCCCCAGTATGAGAAGTCAGTTAGTATGTATGTACTAGGCACTGTGCTGAGCCTGGGGGAGAGAAAAGCACACACAGCCTCTGCTATCCTCACTTAACGCCAGACCGGGGTGACAGGGGCCTAAGCTTAAAGGCAGACTGAGTCCACAGAAGTCGTGCCCTCATCTTCAGTCCTCTGGACAGGATTACAGAATGTTAGAGGCCTGGAAGGAAGGGAAAGCGTGTCTTAGGCACCTACTGTGTGCCAGGCATCTGTAAAATTGGGGAGGCTGGAATAGACCAGATTACTTCTTCCAACTGTCCACCAAGGTGTTTTGAAATTTTAATAACTCAGGCCACAAGTATAATAGAAATAATTGATTGAAAGCATAAAGTATGCTTACTGGCATTTAGGACATCATGACAGGACTGCATATAATGAGGGGGAAACACGCATAATGATAACTAGCTTCTGGAACCAGAGGATCTAGGTTTAATTTCTGTTATCTGACAACTTACTGCCTGAAGGACTTTGGACAAGTCACTTAATACCACCACTCCTCTCTTTGCCTCAGTTTCCCCATCTGTAAGATAACTGGACTAAATGGCCTCTGAGGTGACCTTCAGCTCTAGAGCTATGATCTTGATGATTCTTGTTTCAGACTCTGTGCCAAGTGAAAAATGATCATCATAGATGAAAATGGTAAGCTGAGTCCTGTGGTGAGAACTGAATCTACATGAGTAGTGAAAAGGAAACTGCTAATACTTTATTACCAGAAAAAAAGTCATTTCTATTTTAAATCACTAAATTAAAAAACCAAACACACAAGGTCTTTATGAAGACAAAACTAGACATCCTCACCATCCATTGAGAGCTGTCTCTTAGAATAGTGGGGATGGCTTTTGTCGTGGTTGGGTCATTTCAGTCACATTTGACTCTCTGTGATCCCATTTGGGGTTTTCTTGGCAAAGCCACTGGAGTGGTTTGTCATTTTCTTCTCCAGCTCATTTTTATAGATGAGGAAGCTGAAGCAGATAGGGTTAAGTAGCTTGTCCAGGGTCACACAACTAGTAAGTGTCTAATCTAAGGCTGGATTTGAACTCAGGCCCTCCTGACTTCAGAGCCAACGTTCTATCCACTAGGCCACTAAGCTGCTTTATGTGATCTTGTTTATGGATTTCTTTCCCTATTCCCCCACGAACAATGTCATATAGTTACGAGATAACAGGATTAAGGATATGGTTTGTGGCCATGAAACCAAGTAGAGCTAACTGGTTCAAATGGGGTGCAAAGCCATCAGTTTGTGGCTTCACCGACACTCTTCTTGAATGAATAGAGCCCAAGACCATATAAATACTTGTTCAGGCTTGGAAGCTGGTTTACATGCCCTTAAGGCACTTAGGGTAGGGTAGCAGAGAATTAAGTTTTGTACTACCTACCTCATCCATCTTTCCAGACACACTATTTCCCCCACCCCTAGGCTGTGTCTAAATACAGAACTATGCCCATTCTCTAAGTGGTCCCTGGTGTTCATGGAATAAGAAGCATGAATTTAGTTTTTAAATGAATCTGATCCCAGGCATCCTTTTAGATGACGGTATTAACACCTTACACAGAACAGGAAAAAACCTCCCACTTATCCTTGACGACAAACATTAGTCAGCGCCTACTCTATATATCTTAGTCACACAGGATACAAAGAGGTATAAGACATGGCTTGTGTCCACAAGACACTTAAAAGTCTAGTCTGGGAGACAGAATATGTGTGTAAAAAGAGTCATTAGCTGTGATACAAGGCAGCCGTGGAGCAGATAAGAGGAACAATAAGAATTCAGAGAAAGGAGGAAGGGAAAGATCACCGTAGGGTGGGCTAGTCAAGAAAAACTTCATGGAGAACGCAGGACATGAGTTTGGCCTTGAAGTCAACCTGTATTTACTAAGCACTACTGTGCAGCAGTAACTGTGTTAAGTACAGAGGATATGAAGAAAGGCAAGAAACAGTTGCTTCTCTCAGGAAGCTCACACAAATGAATGGGAAAAGACCATGAAAATGATGAATGCTACTCACTTGTTCAAGTTGATAGTGGTCAGCGCTATATTGGTCATGGATATGGCCCAAGGTATATATACTCCGGTGTTCACAGGACATGGGAGAAGAGATTGTCCGGGTGGGTGGCTCCCTCTTTTGAGAAGAATTAGAAGAACTGTCTGTAGCTGTCTGTATTAAGAGGGAAAGAAATGTTAACTCATGCTATGTAATAAGAAAAGAAAGAAAGAAATGTTAAAACACATTGACAAAAGCTTGTTTTTATTTAAAACAAACACATCCTCCCAATTACTCAATACTGGTATTAGCTTCTGAATGTTGCATTTTTCTTAGTTATGGCATCCTGGTTTGGTTTTCCTGAATCATGAGTGTTATCCTCGGAGAGGTAAGACACTTTCTAGAGGACTAGGTCATCACAGTATTAGGCGGGAACTCAACAGTTTCAGCAACTGCAGCTCTTCACAAAGGCCTTGGGAAAAATGAAGTTTATTTTCTTAAATGTGGGATTGGCTACCATATTTTAGTTAAGGATTTAGCATATCCAGTCCTCCCAGTCAGTGGCTGATTTCAGTTAAAACAAGAGAGTGATGGTTAATGGTTATTTCGGTTGTTAGGAAGTAAATATGTACTGAATGAAAAAAAATTCTAAATTTGAGTTTGATTTTCATTAGAGAAACTCTTAAAAACGAGGATGCTTCTAAGTTGTTACATACAGGTGCTGATTTTGTAGGAAACAGTTTTGGGTAGTAGACAGTTTTCACCACACATTTGAATGAACATTACTATTCTTCGAATGAGAGTCATTCATTCATATAGTATTTATTGAGTGCCTATTATATAGGAGGTGACAGCTCTAGAGCTCTCTCTAGCTGTGGGGCTGGATTTGCTCTGAGACATCCATCTATTCTCATTTAGTCATTCTTATTAAAATATACACAAAATAACTGGCCAGGATTAGGAGCAGTCAATGTCTATAGGATAAAGAAGAGCTAACCAGACTATGAAGAAAACTGAACTCATGACCACAGCCTTTTCCCCACACTAACCTTCCCCCACTTTGAGGGGCCTAATAAAGAGGGCCTGTAATGCTTTGAATAGTGACACAATACATGGCAAGAAATCTCTCTGAAATCATCCCCTGCTAATAAGTGTCTGTTTTTCTATTGCCCTCCCTCCCTGCTACTTTAGAAAAGAGGATTTTGGAAGAAAGGTTATTAGAATTTTCTTTGTGAAAATCATATTTTAAAAAACTAATTCATTCTCAATGCCATTTATGTTATAGCAGAAATCACTGAAAATTATTTCTAAATTAAAAAAACTGAAAAGTCAATTTTTCTTAAGGATGTAATATCCATGGGTTTATCAACTATTTTAGCATTTTTTGGTGGATTCTAAGATAAACTGATACATTCAGTTCCTAATGTGATAAGAGCTTTCAGTTATTACTGAGCATTGAATGTCAAGTCAGGAAGACTTGGATTTGAGCCCAACCTCTGCAACTTATAAGCATGGGACCCCTTAGCAAATCATTTGAGTCTCGGTTTCCTTACCTAGAAAAAGGGGAGAATAATAGCATTCCATTTAATGAAATGAAAATATATATAAAGCATTTTGGAAACCTTGACTAGAAATAGGAATACACACACACACACACACACTGGACTTTGTAATTGCACAGGCAGAGGGAACTCTGAGATGAAGAAATTCCCTCTCCCAATACAGGTCAGTACCTTTCGGCAAATTACATACTTTGTGAGTTGCCTGCCACACTGTGAGAGGTTGAGTGATATGCCCAGGATCACACAGTTAGTATGTGTTAGAAGCAGGACTAGAACGTGTCTTTTTGACTTTGAGACCAGCTCTTTAAACACTACTCCACACTGATATACAAATGCCAGGCATTCTTATTAATAATACCATGTGTATTCAGTGTAAACCGGACTTTGATCCTAAGATTTTCTATTCCACAGAGACTCCCAGAACAATTCAACCAGCAATTGCCACCCCTCCCCAAAGTGAGTTTACATGATTCATAGAATCCAAGATGTACAGTTAGGAGGTAGCCCTGAGAGATCATTTCTTTAGCTCACCTCCCTCATTTTGCAGACAAGGAAACTGGGGATTTAAGTGACCTGCTCAAGCAAAGACACTATGCCTCAAGAATCTCCTTGTGGCTATCACACAGCAAGTAAATCAGTGTCTTAGAATAGCCTTTAGACACCATTTAGTTCACCCCTCCTCCAGTTTACAGTCGGGATAACTGATGCTCAGAGAGTTAGAGAGATGTTCTCAAAGTCACACAGATAGTGGCAACGGCAGAGTTTGGATTTGGGTCCACAGATTTATAAATTCTGTGTTCTTTCCATAATCATACTTTGATGGCTAGAGGTAGAGGAAGGCCACGGCTCAGCTGAAACAGAGGCAAGACCCCTCAGCTACTACTAAGGTCGAGAATAGTGTTTAGGGAGTTGGAAATTAAATAATTTTGTGCAAAATTTTAATTCTAAATTATGCCTTGGTCACTGAGCAAAACCAGCTCTGTTAAGAATCGCAATGGAATTTATGATTAGCAGGTTCTAAGTTTTACTTTATGAGAAGAAAAATAAGTGAATTATGGGGATAAGAATAAATAGGAGGGTAAATGTGTGTGGGGATAGTCAATAGCTGCCACATATAAAGGAACTGATGACACTTCAAGGACCACAAATCTCTACAAGCTGCAGAGATAGACATTTTTAATACAACCTCAGTTAGAGAGAACCTCAGATGCTGACCAGCCCAACTGACAGCCAAACCAAAATTCACTCTACAAAATACCTGACGACTAGTATGTTTTGTGGTACACTTAGACACAAGTAAAAAAGTTTAGTTAAAATAATCTTAAAGGGAAAAAACAAAACAAAACAATAACTTTTTTTTGGTTTGTTTTGGTGAGGCAATCGGGGTTAAGTGACTTGCTCAGGATCTCACAGCTAGTAAGTAAGTTTCAAGCGTCTGAGGCCATATTTGAACTCAGGTCTTCCTGACTCCAAGGTCAGAGCTCTATCTGTGCCACCTAGCAGCCCCTCCAATAACTTCTTTGTGCCAACTCCCCCAGACTCAGACCGGCAACTCCTTTGTAACTTATAATTTCTGAGAATTTCCTGGGGCATCGAGAAGAGATGAAGCATCCCATGGTCACTTGCTTTTACCAGTACGTTTTCAAGGTGCCATACATCCTCTCAAGAGCCTTGTGTTACTACATATTTAATAAAAAGTGCCTTCATTTTAAAATAAACATTCTTTGGGGCCTAGTTTGAAGCAAATCTGTAACTCATTTCTGGATTTTGGGGCTCAGTTTAAAAAAAACCCACCCCCTCCCTGGAAATAAGCATTTGGTTTTGTCCCCTCCACCTTCTATGGATCAAAACAACAACACTTGGTAACGAATATACATATTCAAGCAAAGCTAATTGGTCATGTCCGAGTCTATGAAAAGAGGCATGACATTTTGCAAACCTCAAATCAGGCATATAAAAAGAGATGTTAGTTTTTAAAAAAAATTTAATATAAATAATAATAAATTTAATAGTAAATAAATATGTATATTCATATAAATAAAAATAACATTTAAATTAAAAATATTTTAAAAGTATACATAATACTACCATCAGATTCTTTGTCTAATTCTTTTTTTTGAGATAATATAGAATAGTCTTTATTTTCTTCAACAAAAACACAAAAAACAAAGTGCTTCCACCCAAAACTATAAACAGTTAAGTAAGCCTCCTCTCTCTAGCGACCCCCACCTTTCTTAGGGACCTGTTCTTTAGACTTATAGTGGCCCTTAAGGTTGAGAATCTCCTGAAAGGCATTTTATTGGCATCTCATGTGAGTGTGTTTTGCTTTTCCCCTACTCTTTGGCTTAGGGAGGGGTCTAATTCTAATAGTAACAATTCTAACAGTTATAAAGGGGGTTTAGCCACTTTTAGGTGATACAGATTATGAGAGCAGGGACCACTTCACTGTTGTCATTGTATTCCTTTGAATGCCTGGCACATGCTAAATTCATATTAAATGCTTTTTAAAAAAACCTGAATTGAAATATTAAGTAATATGGATCAATTTGGGTACAAATTCATAGAATCACAGGTCTTACCTTAAAGCTAGAAAGGGCCTCAGAAAGGGTTTACATCTAATATAAGCCCCTTCATGTTTACAGAGTGTAAACCAAGGCCCAGAGTATCTTGGTTAAGGTTATACCAGCAATAATTACATAAAAGAACTAGATTTCCAGCTAGGTCCCTAGAGTTCAAATTAAGAGTTTTCTTTCTGTATGGTGCAGATATGAATATGCACCTGAATTTACACAAATTCAAATGTAAGGGTGGCTGGGTGAGGTAGGGAAGTGTTGGCGGCTGGAGTGCTCATTTATGTAATCAAAAGTATAGGATTCCTTAGAAATCCACTTTACACACTATATGTCATTGGTCATTTGCTTATTCTAATACTGACAAACCTTTGCGTGACTTATGGCTAAGACAAATAATACCTAGAATTCCATTGCAAGCAAAAAGTACTAGAGTGCACCTTAATTGTGGATTAGGGTATCAGCCAAATGAAGCTTTCCACTTGGCCTCCTTTCTTCTATCCCCCAAATAACCCAGTTCTGGTTGTTTATACTGCACAGTGTCAATACAGGATTTCACTCTTAGAATTTTCACAGAACCAAAAATTGTTACTGCTAGAAATGGTCTTCTACGTCAATCTCCTCATTTCACAGATGAAGAAACTGAGGCTTGAGAAGTTAAGCGACTTTGTCGGGATTTCAAGCCAGAGCAGGTACCACAAATCAAATCACTTGGCTCCTAGGCCATTACAAGGCTGCTTCTATGTCCATCATTTCCAAGCAGTAAGGCAGCCATGAGGGACAGGATGTGTCAGAAGTTGAAACTTATTTACAATCCATAATACCTGGCAAGTCTTCCAAAGGGGTGGGTGTGAATTGCACAACTAAAAGAACGAACATATAAGGTCATTGTATGGGAAGGAAAAACAAATTTTCACCCTCTCACCCATTATTTTCTCTCTACTAAGTTCTCCCTGGGGGCACTGGAAAGAAGTCACAGTTCCGCGACGTGGCTTGTGGAAGCCATGTGGATCTACAGTAAGTAAGCCTGGACAAGTCTGCT